CCACCACCATCATCATCATCATCATCATCATCATCATCATCATCATCATCATCATCATCATCATTTAAACTTATTTCCCAGGAGGGAAACAAGGAATATGCAAAGCACAGAAACGACACGTTTCCCTGAAGTAGAAGTCTGTGTTAACCTCTTTCCATCTTCACCGAAATAGACATTTTATGGCCGACTAAGCTAAAACCAACCTCATTTGGCAACGTAACCAAGGCTCTGGCCCACTCCAGTGAAAAGATCCAGGGCAAGGACCGCCCTTTTTAAACGCCCACGCAAGTTACTAGTCCTCATGGCCCTCCAGCCGAGCCGAAGCGGAGAAAAAGAGGGCGAACTCACCCAGGGACTGAAAGTTGAGAGCCACCATCTGACAGCCAGCGTTCCAGAATAGCTGGGGCATGTAATTGGAGGAATCCACGCGTGTCCCTTTGGGGTATATCCGGCTCAGCTGCTTCTTGTTGTATCTGGGAGGGAAGCGTGTTAAGGCAAACACGGAGCGCGCAGAGCTGGTGAGGCCTGTCCCTGGGTGCTGAGCTGTCCTCTTGGGTGCCAACATGCAGGGCGCAGGTCAAAGCAACCCATTGGCAACCTATTCTCCATCTCCCCTTTCCGCCCAGTCTTTCCTCTGAAGCTTAGAATCACGGAGTCGTGCCGTTGAAGACGGGATCTCAGAGGTCATCTAGTCCAACCCCCACGCAAGGCAGGATCCACGAGAGCAGCTTCTTAAAAGGTGCTCCTAGCACTCCCAGGGTTCCCCCAAGACCCTCTCAGGGGTCCTCAAAACCATCATGCTTCAGCCTGGGCTGCAAATGAACACCCTGTGAAAACCCCATCCAACCGTCGCGAGAAGCCGTCGCGGCAGCAAACGCGCCCATGTTGATTTTTCCTACGGTGAATATCGATCAATATCACCCCCAACTCATTCTGAAAAAGGGGAAGGGGCCCCGAGAGAAAGAAAAGTTTAAGAAACGCCGCACCAGAGCGTGTCGGAAAGGGGACCGTCCAGCTTCTGTTTGGGAGACCTCTCTTGAAGGAGAACCCTAACCCTTAATTTGGGGTTCTTCATCCTGCATCCCCTCCCAAAAGGGACAGAAGTGGGATCAAGCACGCCACGTTAGCTCGGGAACGGCTCAGGATGCTCGACAAACTCCATGGGGCTGTTGGTCAGCTGTTCCAAGCCTTTGGTCTCCACAAACGAGGACATTTCGTATGATTTATTGCGTTCTAGAGGAGCAAAAGAAAGCACAGGACGTCAGCTCTCCCCACGCACCGAGCGCTCACTTTTTCCCCGTAACAACAACCCTGCGAGGTAGGCTGGATAGAAAGGGAGGGTCTGGTCCTTGTGGACCAGGGTGGCTTTAAACCCACCTAAAGACGTTTTGGACACAACAACAGTGCGCACGAGGGCATCCGTTGTAATGAAAATGAAAAGCCATGAATTTGATGACTTTCCCGCTGTGGATTTAAGCGCTCTGAGAAATCCCTGGATCTGACACTACTGATTGCTTAGGATCGGGGCGTGGGCAAGGAAGGGGGTTCCAAAAAGTCACAATGGTGGCCCCAACCGGGCGATCGAAGCCCTCTTTTTACGTCTGTCATGATTACAGTGACCCTTTATTTCAGAAAGCTGTCCTTTAGATTTATTTCATTTTCAACAACTCGCTTTTGTCCTTTATTTTGGTCATTTTACGTTGACCGGACAAAGGTCCCACCTTAGGCCCGGCCAGATTGCAGAAACCTTTTTTAAGACCTGCCTCTTATAATTCATCGCTTCTTAGCTTTTTACATCTTTTTATTAGAATAGGCGTTTTCGTGAAGTTTTTCTCTTGAATCTCCCGTCATAAAGCGAAGTTATAAATGTAAATGATAATTTTTTTTATCCTTCTGGACCTCTTTCAGGCTCGTCCTTTATGTTTTCCAAGAAAATGGGGTCACGGTAACCATGATGCACATCAGCCAGACACCCCTGGCTGGCATTTCTGTGCCCCCAATGGTTCCCATTAAAAGGCGGAAACTGAATCCAGCCGCCTTTCTTGCTGCGGGGAGGGGGACATGTCCCCCCATCGCTCGGCCTCGTCCCACCCTCACTTACTGCTGGCCACTTCGAAGGATTTGAACTTGACCGGTTCGATGTAGTTCACCAACGTGGACATCTCTTCCGTGGCATTGACTTCGCTGCTGGCGGTGCCCTGAATGGGGGGGCGGGGGGTTGGCAGGGGGCATACACGGAAGACGTCAGGGTCAACAGGGCAAAATGGCAAATCACGGGAACAGAAAGAACGGTTTTTCCCATCTTGAGACTCCGGCTCCCAGAATCCCCTCGGGCTCGCTGCGGGTGGGGAATTCTGGGAAATGGAATCTTAACTTTTGGGGAATGCATCAGAACTCTTGCAATTATTCCTGGGGGGGAATATTTCCTGTGTTTCTGGTCCCCTTTTGTTCCACTTTCAAGGCCCTTTCAAGGTCACCGGTGCACCCCAAAACATTGGGGATAGCCCCCCCATTTGCGCATACCTCGTCCGTCGTGGGTTTTTTGGGGTCTTGCTGTTCTTCCTCCTCCTCGCTTTCCGCTTCCCGGTCTGGAGGTGGGGAGAAAGGAAGGGGGTTAGGGGCCCGTGGTCAAACGGTTGGCCGTTTTGTCTGTCTGATGAATAAAAAACGCAGTTTGGCAGCTGAACCCCAACACGCTGGACATTTGAAAGGGTGAACTGTTAAAAATTACATAAAGGTTCTGTTTGGAGTATCATTTAGGACAGTATTTT